TAGCAGAGTTTGGAATCCACTGACAACACCTAGGAAGGCTAATCTTACTCTAACTCTCCTTAAATTCTTCCACAACTTGTCATTAGAACTCCCTCTCCTCTACCTCCAGGAGGAACTCCCTCCCTTTCACCTCCTGCTGAAGTGGGTGAAAGTGGCCCACGAGGATGACATGGAGCTGCATTGCACCGAAGACATTGTGGTAGGGACACTGGTCTCTACTACATGGCCCTCAATGAACGGGACATAGCCAAGCTCCAGGCAGCCGTGGTGCTGAGCCCCGGCCTTCTCCTCCATCCTGCTCATTCTCCAGTTCTGTCTAAACTGGAAGCGAGAGAAGACCAACAGCAACATTAGGGTCATGCAGAGTGGTCAATGTGTGCTATCAGGAGGCGTGGGCGCCGGCCTGGCCACCAGCTCTTGACCAACCAGCTGCCGCGCCTGTGCGTGCTGCTAGACGTCTACCTGGAGACAGAGAGCCATGAGAGAGCGTGGAGGGGCCCAGGGAGTTTCCCCAGGAGAAGAGGTGTCGGTGGCTTTCCAGGGATCCCAGTAGGATGAAGCCTTTTAAATATAACCACCCTTAAGGATTCTTCAGCCATCGCTGTCCCCTGCTGGGTGGTACCTCTAGGCTGGGCCCTTATTCCAGGATTGGTCATTCCGAGAGTGTGATTGCATACTAGATAGAAAATAAATATTTTATGAGCCCTCAAGTGAACCATATTAAGGTTTTACACAAGTCATGTATGTTTCCACATGCTAAAATGGCTAAGCTAGAGTAATGGAATGTATGTATTGTTGGGAGAGCAACAGTGGTAATGATCATGAATGGTCCTCCCTTCCCTAACTCTGCAAGGCTCGGACGAGCTGCAACAAGAGGATTTAACTCTAAATCTATGATACCTTGTCACGATTTTATTTCAGAAGTAGGAAGAGCAGGCATTCTAAACAGGGAATAATTCATAGAAGGATAGACACCCAAAAACTCTCCAATTGAGGTATGTTTTGATGTATAGTCTGATACTGCCTGTCTTCTTCCACCCTCTAATATGCCAGGAGGAAATAAAGTGAAAACGATTTCACGAGCCAAAAAGAAACTGGCAAGGCTTACAAAAGCACATACTCCAGGCTGTGGAAGAAAGGAAAATGGAAGTGCCCAATAACGCGATGTGTTTTGTATCCAAATCCTGTGGAGGGAATCACATGTGTGAGCCATCACTGTGTGAACACAGTACCTGCCAGTGACCTCTCATTTAGAAGACCAACTGACTAATTTTTTCAGCTGCTTGCTTTTGCTATTGTGATTCTACTCATTTTTGTGGTTGACAGACCGATATAAAAAGTGATTTCTATTGAAAAGTGATTAATTTCAAGGTATATCAACTCACACATATATCACTACCTGGTATCCAGATTATTAAACTGCAATTCAGATCTAGGAAATGAACTTACATTGACAGGAGACTATGGGACCCAGCTGAATTCAGTATCCAGAAAGGTCTCTTTCCTTAGATTCCATTTATACCAGTGGTTTTTCTGTTTTAATTCTCTTTTCTAGTTTGTCCAAACTAAAAACTAAACCCAATTCTGAGCCAAAAAAGGGCTTCCAAGACTTTCAATTTTTATAGGTGCAGACAGCCTCATCTGTTTCCTTTGGAGCAGCTGATGGGTTTAAATCACTGAACTTACGATTAGTGTTCCAACACTTAACTATAGATTCACTAGAGCTTATGTGCCTATCTGCATTAGAACTGAATTTCTATTGACAATGTGAAGACAGGGTCTAATTGTATCTTGATATGATCTGCAGTGAAGAAGATGGGGTCAATGGGGCGTAGCTCTGACATTGGGTCCTGTGACCAGAATGTCTTTTGTTCAACATGTATACCCTCAGCCTAAAATATGTTCGCCGTGTTCTGACTATCCAAAGCATAGTCATCTTTTAAGACTCTCAACGTCTTCCTCTTCTGTGTATCTGTGTATCTATTAGAACTTTCCCTGATTTGCAGGCTTTTGAACTCAAATGAATTAATTGTGCCAGACAAGGTAGGAACTCATTCTTCACAATTATTTCTAAAAATTGTTTTAGTTTACAACAAACTTGAAAGTTTATGCAATTTTCAGTATCAGTGACTCAAGCACTCGGAACACATTATATTTTGGTTGGGGGGTATAAAAAAAGCATAAAATACTGAAATCAGACTTCCTTGATTAAACCTCAGGCTCCAATACTTACTATGTAACCTTTGGCAAGAAATTTAACTACTCCTAGTGCAGTGGTTATGTGCTTAGCTATTTATTAAAAAATAAAATAATATATATATTTTTAAAGGCAGCAACTCAAACCCACCAGTCTCTCAGCAGGAGAAAAACAGCTGGTGTGATCTGGTCCTATGGATATTTATTGCTAAGGAGACCCCATGGGGGAGCTCAACTCTGTCCTCACAGGGCCACTATGAGGCAAAACCCACTGACAGCACACAAAAGGCCTCAGATTCCTTATCTGAGAAAAAAAAAAAAAGGTTGCAATCAGTTTACTACCTTGTGGGAAACTGAGGTGAAGTGGCACCTTTATGTGGCCTTTTGCCTGGGTTCTTTGAGAACAGTTTGAGAGATTTTTACACTAAGTCCTGAAGAGTTATCATTGCCTTAGTTTAGCTCCAGAGAATTTACTTTTTTCCCGGTTTATTGACCTTTCTTAATAAACTCTAAAGAACTCAATTGTTTGGTACTTTTGGTCTCTTCCTGAGATGGCAGCCTGCTGTGTGATTGGTGTGCAACCTTGCAGGGATTGGTTTTTATAATATGCAAATGAAGTAATTATGGACCTCTGAGGGGAATGGTCAGTTTGTGGCCCTACTGGGAGGGCCCTGAAATTAACAACAACAACAACAGCAACAACAACAACAAATTTGCATCTAGAAGCAGCCAGCCCTACAGAGGTTTCAGATAGGAGAAGCTGTGAGAGGTAAGGACGAGCAAAAACAGAGAGCAGAAGTGAGACATCTCCTCCAATAGCTGCAACGCAAGTCAAGGACTGGAACACAGACTCCTGTGAGAGTGAGTCCTGCAAGGACTCTAGCAGATGACCAGTGGTGATGGGAGGAATTTGTTGACAGAAATGTAGCTAAGAGACAGCTGAACAACGTTGCCATCCTGGCTACAAGGTGGGGGTCTGTTAGCAGTGAAGAGGCCCATGGCAGGGAAGTTGAAGGCCCAGAGGTCTGCACTACAGAGAAAGGTTGTTCGGGTCACAGGGTAGGGCCTGCTTGCTTGCATGCCTAGGAGGAGCTGCGAGGGGAAGGGGTGTGCTCTCCACCTCAGCAGAGCCGTCTAGACATTGCCTACAGGCTTCTTGATCCTCATCCCCAGTTGGAGCCTGTTGACCCTGATCCAAAGTAGTAACCCATGTCCCTAATGACCCACTTAACTGTTAAGTACAGTTTGCAAATTCTCCGAGACTAAAGTGAGTTCACAAAAGCTTGGAGCATTTGGAAATCTGACATTATTTGACCATCTCATAGGAATTATCTTTGTGCTGATTCTTATATTTGGAATTGTTCATATAGGAATCTGTGTAAAACAATTAGCATAGCACTAGACACAAAATAAGAGCTCTGAACATGTTCGTCCTATAACTATCAGCATCACCATCATAATATAATTATACAATAATTATTATTGTGATTTTGTCCCCACACAGCTTACCACTGTCCTGTGTCACATCATATATTGGTAAAGCGTAAATTATTTTTTTAAGGGAAAATCACCTTGGGGATGGATAGATCCAGCTGTTTAAAATGACATATCCTTACATCGGCTGAAAATATGACATTTTGAATATATTTCATGACTGTTCTGCATACACACATTTAGTGGGCAATCCAACAGCTCACATGTTCACTTCAATAAAAGACAAGCACGGATAAGTCATCAGTGATGTGTCACAAGCATAGGGTTTCTTTTTCACTAGAAATACTCGAATCAAGAGTGTATGGTTAATGTGCGTTCATAGGAACACAACACACACATACATGACCAGGCATCAAAAATTTGGGGGGCATATCCATTATCTTTTAATGTTATTTTTCCAAGAACCGTCTTGAAGTTCCCTTGTGTACATATTCTATAATAAATCAATGTGACTCAATGCTTGCTAAAGACACCTATGACTAATAATGAATTCAAAGTTGTTAAATTTTACATTTTAGAAATCTATATTTCACGTATCAGCCATACAATGTAAGAGGAGCCTCTGTTTCTAGTAGAAAAAGCCTGCATGAAAACTGATAGCCATTCTGGGAGAAAATAGTCAGGCAAGTTGAAATCCTAGGACTTCCCAATCCTTCTTTTCCCAGACCCCAGCAAGTTCCCACTGTACCCAAAGTTATGTGGAACAACAACAGATGAGAAGGTGTGTCAAATTATTGCTATCTGTCAGCCTGAGAATTTTTGCTTAGGAAAATATATTAAAGAACCTCACAAGATCCCCAATAAAATAGCTTTCCTTCATTCAGAACACATTAAGCACATACGAACAAAAAGATTTCATTTTATAAGCCTCACTTTGTGAATGTAGTCTTTCTCTTTACCTTCTTTTTCTTTTCCCTTTCTCTGTAATTCTCGAGGGGAAAAAGTTGCCACTGTGCAGAGACGTGTATACAGTCTCTGACGCATCAGGTTAGAAAGGAGCAAGATACTTAGCGTAACTTTCACTTCCTTTTAGAGCTAAGGCACCCCTTCCAAAGCAAAAGTTATCACATACCACCTGCTAAAAAGGGGTGACTTAGTTTCTTCAATAGTTTTCTTAAGATGCCCTCCAGCCACCCCACTCTTTCCCCACCCCACCCCACAGAACCCTACAAAAACATCCATCGCTTATGGACTGTCAGGTTGTTTGATTTGATTCTGGAATTATCGGGTCTTCTCCAAAGGCATTTCCAGGCCAGCTCTGAAATGATGAGATCATGAGTTAGGCACGGTTCTGGTGCAGCGATAGTTACCTCTTTGAGACAGCCCATGAAGTTGTTACTGACTGGTGACCCTGGAAGGTCTGCTGTGCTGGGACTTCCTCCAACATAGAAAAAGTCATCAGACCCCAGCATGGTATAATCTTCTTGGGTGTAGCCCGTTGTGGTAAGAATCCCGTCCACTGATATTGTCACCTAGATAACAAAGCACAGGGAAAGGACACGCTATACTCAGACCTAGAGACTGTAATCCTGGGATATGCCTGTTTTGTGTTTTGTTTTGTTTTATCTTTTTGTTTTGCTTTTTGCTTTTTTTTTTCTGTTTGTTTCATTTTTTATTTTTAGACCTATGGTGGAACCCATTTTCATGTCTGTTTGAGGCTTAGTCTTGGATTCTATTCAGCTAGCCCTACGAGATCTAAACTAGTTAGAGAGCTAAATGATTATTGAACTAGTGTCAGCGTCATCCCTACTGCAACTCAAAAGTCATTTAGCAGACACAAAAATGGTGTTAGTAAAATGCTGCCTGGGTTAGTTTTGCTGGTGTACATATTAGTAAAGTTTAGTCATCTGGTATTAACTAATCACAACATGCACCTTGCTAACATAAAAGGCACAAGCTGTTTCCAGCCACGTCACTAACCGCACTACAGAGCAGCGGTTGTTTAGCATGCAAGTCCCTAAGTGCATGCCGACGGGGGAGGGGGCAAAACAACCAGGAAAAGCGGCCCACGCTGATGTGCACATGCAGGAGGGACAGTACAGTTCAGAAAGGCAAGGAAAGAAAACCGGGAGAAACAAAGGAGAAAAAGAAAACAAACAAAAGGTTAAACATAACAAAACAAAAAAATAGATATACAACTGCTTTGTGATGACGTAAAGATGAGTGGGTGTGGCATCCCCATCATTCCCAAATCAAGTCGGCATGCCATGCATCATGAATGGTTAGAGACTGGCTGAGCCTGCGGTCACTCGGGCCAGCCACCATTTGGTCTTATCCCGTGTTAACCACAGCTGGATGCAAAACGTTCGAAACGTTAACGATGCCCCTACAGGTGAGTTGGAAAACAGAAGTCGACAGGGACAGGAAAAAAATCAGAAGGTCACCAACAGATGGAAAGAAGGAGGTCAAAGTAAGCAGAAGGGTACCAACCGCAGTTCCTCTTTTGTGAATGATGTCTACAGTTAAAAGAAAGAAAGAAACACACGGCAAACCCAAAATAAGAAACAATTAGAATGATATCTACCGAACAATGTAGTTTGTTTACCATAGCGTGTCCAATGCCTGAGTGCTTTGTGGAGAAGGGGGAGAAAGGAAATTAAAAACTGTGAACAGAATAACGATCGTTACTTAAAAAATATGATGGTCTCTACCATGTTAGTACATTTTTTGATTCAGGTAACGGTTAGTAGAATGAAACATTCCATGAATGACATGTTAGTTATTAAGCATGTTAGTAACATAGAAAAAGGGCAAAAAAATTTTACAAGAAAAAAGCAGACTAACAAATAGGCCTCCCACCCAGGTAATAATTTCTCCTGCCATTACTGTTCGTAACTTGCTGCTAGACAGAAGGAGACATCTCGCAACGTTCCTGTTGTCTTCCTGAGTAGATCTGCCAGGCATTTACACCGCCTACACGGGACTCACAGGCTTATAGCTCATTGACCACTGCTGCCCTACACCCGTAATTGATCCCTCCCCCAACCCTGGCCCACCCCAGTCCCAGCAAATTAGTAGGAATTGGTTGGCATTGCCCTACGACTCCATTTTACAGCATACAAGGACTCCTCCTCAACTCCAAAACTTCCTTCGGTCATATTGATGGACTTTAGGGTCACAGTGGACTGCAATGAAACAAAGCAAAGATCCTGACACATCGAATGAGTAGAATGGATTTGTTCTTCATCTGTCCTGCACACATGCACCCCAGCTGCACGACTACAGTGTCCTTCGAGCTACCAATTTGTAGTTTCCATTGTAACCTGAGCAAAGGCAAATCTAGAAAGTGGGATCCCACCCCACCCCAAACCCCACCCTTCTGGGCTTCTTTCAAAGGAGCCTTCGGATCACAGAGTGAGTATCTGAGAGGGGGAGAAAAAAGCAAAAAGAAAAAAAAAAGAAAGAAAAGAAAAAGAAACCAAGGAGACAGACTTGTAGGAAACTCTTGGGCTACCTTGATGGTGGCGACCACTTCCCAAGGTAGCTGGGAAGCCTGCGGGAGCCCTGCCGTGCCAAGAAAATAGCTGGAGAGTCTCTGGGGCTCTCCAGGAAGCCTCGTTTTACTGGTTTTTCTGAGCTATGCTGAGGCTTCATTCCTACTAGTCTTTTATTTACTTTGTCTTCTCTAGCTGGGCAGTTAAAGCTTTTCAGAGGGGAGCAGAAAAGGTTAGACAGGCAACAGCTCAGAAAGAGAGGGCTGTTTGCAGTCAAGGAAAGCCACAGACAATCCATCCTTCTGCAACTGTTCAGAGAAACAACAAATATGTTAAGTATATTAGTTTGAGATCAGCATGTATGGCAGACAAATTCTTCACTGTCAACACTTAACCAAATGATACATTATAATATATTAAACTTCCAATTAATAATCACAACTTGGAGTGGTCCATGTTTTGGACACGTTTTCTTTCTCACCTTCATCTTTATCTATACTGTAAGAGCATGCTTCAGTTAAAAACCTACAGTATATGTAGACCCGTGGATTAACTAGAAAGCTAATGTTTTGCTAGTAGACCATGCCTCTTGCAAAACCTTTCAGAAACTACAATAAAATAGAAACAGGCCCTAGAAGATGAAGTGGTCTCTACAGTGTCATTTGGGATTTAACGGTCTGTGCTGACCACCCCCCCAAAGTCATTTTCCCCTCTCTGGGACTATTCTTGTCCCTTTTTGGGGGGTGGAGGTAGGAAGGGAGTAGGGATTGAGACAATCCCAAATCAGAAACTCACTGTTTCTTTGATTACAAAAAAGGAACTGTGATTTAATGACCCCAATGTACATGCTCCTAAATGATCATCGTGAAACTACAATTTCAAATTAAACAAATAACAACACCAAACAAAACAAAACAAACAAAAGCACAAGAAGACCACACACATCACAGGAAGGGAAGGTCAAAGGATATCCTTGCAGCCCTTTGGGAAATTGTCATCTCTCGTGGTATTAAAACAGCCATAGGGCCCCCAGAACTTTCTAGATATGCCCCTGCTCAAGTATGGCAAGAAGATTTATCTCAGAAGAAGAAATGGCTAGTCTATAAGCAACTCTGGGGAGCCCTACATCATTGTGTTGGGGTTCTCAAGTACCACACATACAGCTGTAGCAAGAGACAAAGCCAGTTACTCTCTTATCCACTGCGCTGTTACCTGACGCAGATTCCTGGTGACTTTCACATCATGCCAGGCATTATCATTAAACTTTCCATTCACGGGCTCCACTAGTGCTTCAAAGGCCCCTGATCCCAAATTAATGACCAGAGAGACAGCTCCATTTTTCAGGGCAAGATTGACATAATCCGCCGACTTCCCAGTGTGAAGCATCAGTCCATTCCTTTGAAGGGTTTTAAAGGAGAGAGTGATTTCATCACTGCTGCTTTGAATGGGGTTTTGAGACAAGTCGTAGCAGAAGTATTCAGATCCCTTGAAAGTAGCAATATATTCTTCTTTTCCTAGAGGGAAACAGATAAAAAGATGCATAAGTAAAGGCTTCTCTACTATGTAAATCAGCAGATCTTAACAAAAACAATAACAATAGCAAAAACCAAATGAACTCGTTGCTTAATTAACATTCATGGCAAGGCCCTGTGGGAGAGGCAAACCGTACTGAAGGTGGCAGTATATTTTTAAATAGGCCTCCTCAGATATTGAGCCATTAACTCCAGTAGCTAAAACTGACATACCTGAAAATTCAATTAATTTTCAAGTAGCATTACAAGAGCTCTGATCACAGAAAGTAGCTTTGTGATATCGCCAGGGCACGAATCAGATACCGTAAATGCATATTGGATGGTTCTACTCTGTTGGCAACAATGGATTCAACCATCTTTGCAACATTCTCTCCATCCAACCGAGGTGTTATTTTAATCTTCAGTGAGACAATTATATTCAGAGATCTTCTGGATGAAGAGCCAAATATTTTCATCACTGAGAGACCATAACAAAGTATCTAGTGAGGGGCTTCGAAGAATAAAAGGAAGAGGAGGGAAAAATAAGGGAAGGGTTTGGTCCCGGAGGGAAAGGATTTCTTATAGAGCATGTGTGTGTTTTCCCCCTTGGACACAGAGAGCAGTGAGAGAAAGCCTAATGAAGTCAGCTGGATTGTTGATTCATTCCCTGCTCTTGCCAAGCAGATGGCAAGGCTGGCTTTCGTGAGCTTGGTAAGAATGCCAATACATCATCATGGGGACAGCATTGAAATGAAGACTCAACATTGTATCTGCATCCCAGTCTTTGCCATAGCCAGGAATGACAATGAGGATCTCACAAGAAGCTAGACAGAGCATGTGAAAACATGACTCTTTGGAGAGAACAACTTTTTCCCACTGAAGAAGTAAGCCAGGCAATGATGGCGCATTGTCAAGAAAAATGAGCCAGTATGGGCTAGAATCAGCGTCTGATAAGCTATAAACATAGAATTATAGAAGGCACTGGAAAACTAAAATCCTTTTTTTTACCTGGTTGATACAGCATCTCTACTGTGTCCACTGGACACCTCACATGCCTGCAGGGGTCAGGCTAACCTTTTGGTAGTGTTCCCCCCGCCCCCCCTTGGGGTTATTTTCATTTAATAGTCAAAGAATCCATGCCCTGGCACTGAGCTCAAATCAAGTCCCAGCTTACCAGTCCCAAAAGATCGCACTCTGGACACAGGAAAAGAAAGCGGTTGTCGGCAGCCAAAGCATGGCACTGAAGAGGACTGAAAACGTGGAGCGTGTCACACAGGATTGTGTTGGGAAGACTGGCCACTGACTGCCCATCAACTATTGGCAGACAAGAGGTCAGGCCACATGCACTCCACTGAATCAGAGCCACAGCAAGGACAACCAACTCTCTACAAGCAGCATTATCCGTCCAGATTCTCAAGTGATTCCCGGAGCCTCCCTCAAATACTGCTCCTGTGAACAAGTGAACGAGGCTGACGTAGTCTCTGAGAGGGTACAGGCCAAGTGTCCCCTTCCCAGGTCAGTAGCTCAACATGGGAGCCAGCATAACAATATTTCTGATATAGCAGGGGACAAAAGGTGACTCCATATATAAACTCAATCTCAACTTGGACACTTGCTAGCCATGTAACTGGAAAAAATGATCACATCTTTTAAAAGGTAAGTGTCTTTACATGGTTGGCTAGGTGTGAGGATACAATGAACTGATGTCTGCGCAGGTGTCTGTCAAAGTGAGTGAAAACTAGGAATGGTAAATGTCTTCCTCCTTACCTGTCCAATGTGATAAATGTTGTACATGATGTAAAGCAAGTAGTATACACTGCTTTTCAGCCTTTTGGCTAACATCAAGTGCAGTAAAACAAATAGCATACGTCATACTTAATTGTGACATATCAGAATATTTTTCTTTAGGATCAGAAATGCCCACAATTAGCATTCAATATTACACTTGAAGTTGTAGCTTTTTTAAAAAGTTGAGGAAAAATATGACAATCATAGAATCAAAATAAAGAAATTAATGCCCTGTTAGCAAACATTATTGTGTACATTGAGAGATTAAAATAATGTACACATAAATTATACAACTTAATAAAACATTTTGTAATGTAACATTTAAATATCTGTAGTTCTATGTGCTGGGAGCAAGCAATATTTTAAAGATATACAAATGGACCTAAAGATCAAGTAGAAATACAGATCTAATTAAATTCCAATAAAAATCTCAATTGGTTTTTTTTTCAAGTGCATTTGAAAAGCTGACTATAGAAGTTCTATGGGGCAAAGGGCTCTATGGAGCCAAAGTATACCAAAGGAAGATGACAAAACTATTGTCCAAGAAGAGATGAACATTCATAGAAGATTATGGCCATTAAGAAGATGCATCAGGTTAGATAAAAGAAGGAGATTAAAGATAATCAATCAAACTCTAAATAATCCTAAACATATATGAAAACTTGATTTATATCTGGGAAAGAATCGCAGGTTAGTGCGAGAAGAATACCTTAGATCATAAATGGTGTTGGCCAGCCAGCCCTTTCCATCACAAAATGAATTTGGATCTTCATATAATTTTGTTTACAAAAGTCAGTTAGTTCTATGTGGAATGAGGGCACACATAAATTACAAAATTTTGTGAGACAAAAATGATGATGATGCATGGGAGATTTAGCTGATACAAGTACTAGAAACCTTGATAAACTGATCACATTATAATTAAGATCATCTGTTCATCAATAATACCACACAGAGAATAAAGATTTCAATAAATATTAAGAGAAAGTATTATCATTTTATGATAAGTGACAGCAATAGTAAAAAAGAAAAAGAATCCAGGCTATAGAAAGGATTCCTACAAATCAATATGAAAAAAGGGAAAACAGGAAAATGGACAAAAATAAACAGATAGGGATTTGGAGACCTGGTGGCACAGTTGGTTAAGCATCAGTCCTCTAACCACAAGGTCGGCAGTTTGAAACCACCAGCCACTTGAAAGGAGAAGGATGTAAAGAGTCACAGGCTCAGAAACTCAAAGGGCCACAGTTCTGTTCTGTCTTATAGGAGTACTTTAGGTCAGAATCAAAACAATGGCAGTGGGAAATGGAAAAATATTCTGAGAAATATAATAATTAAAGTACTTGCAATCACTATTTAATTTATTTGGCCAACTTATGAAGTTGACCAAAAATGGTATAAAAAGGAAAATAGCGAGCTTTGACAAAGATGTTGATATGTTGGAATTCTTATCCCTGGATGGCAGGAGGGTAAAAGGTGAAACAGAATGGTATCACTTAGTGACCTTAAACTGTATGCACAGTATTGTGTGCCCAGAAAAACTCTTGCATTCATGCACCAGTGGTTTGTATAAGCCCGGCCACAGTAGAATAAAGGAAAAACACTGCAACAATCTAAAGAGCAGAAGTACGGAAACATTGCTATAAATTCATGCAATGAGCTGCCATACTACAACAAAAACAAATGAACTTCACTACATTATGCATGTAGATATCTCAAAAATATAATAAATATCGACCTTGTCATAGATAATGCCATTCCATATGATTCCATGTCTATAAAGCCCAATATGAAGGAAATCAATCGACATTATTTAAAAATTCATTCATATAAATGCAACTACTGAAAGGATAGTACATTAAGGAAATAGATGCCTCAGCCAAAACTGGGGATTTAAGCTTCCAAGATACCAGCAATCCTTTTCTTTTGTGAGCTAGACGTTTAGTACAAGTATGTTCATTTTATAATTGCTCTTGAAAATATATGTATACAACAAAGATTTTATTGTCAAATATTTTAATACACATAACAATGGCTATTTTTAAAGGAATAAACCTGGACAATTAGAAAACTATGGAGAAGGTTCCTTTCTCTTATATGCATATAAGTATTTATTAATTTTTATAGTGAATTTTTACTAAATTTATATTCAGAGGAAAAATATCTTAAAAGCAAACGGGGGAAAGCCTGTATAAATAAAAGTCCACAGACTAATTTCAGGGATGATGCGGACAACAAACAAACATCTTATAGCCAAGTTTTAATATAAACGTGGACACACAATAGCAACATGTTAATAAGAGCTTAGTGAGACGGCTGACAGACTCAGCAGAAAGATGAGCAAATGTTTGATTTCCTCAGTGCTCTGATGGAAAGAGACACAAGGCACTCTGAGGACTGCTATGGTTGACATGTGTGTGTCAGGTACAAAGCTCAACTTTTTTTAAAAACACATTTTATTAGGGGCTCATACAACTGCTATTGCAATCCATACACACATCAATTGTGTAAAGTGCATTTGTACATCATTCTCAAAACATTTTCTCTCCACTTAAACCCCC